AGCTGGCTGAGGAACTCTGGGAGTTGAAGTCCACAAGTCTTAAAGTTGCCAAGGTTGGACACCCCTGATGTAAAGTATGGCAGTTCCATAGGATACTTGTAAATGCTATAAAAATACTTAAAAATCATTTTTGTGTTTTTCTTAGGATACAGCAGGGCAGGAACGATACCGGACTATCACCACTGCCTATTATCGAGGGGCAATGGGTTTTATTTTGATGTATGACATCACCAATGAAGAGTCCTTCAATGCTGTCCAAGATTGGTGAGTCAAAGTCTTTATGACTAGCTTTAATTAATTCTGAAACTTATAATAATTTTAATATTCAAATGTTCTCCAAGGATTCCTTTGGACAATGCAGCTGACATGTGAACAACCCATGGATCAAATTGACATCTTCAGTATGTTTACTTATCATTTTATATGCAAGCTACAAAAAAGGTTATTTGTATGCCACCTTTATTATTTTTATAATTAACTCAAGGTGGTGAACATATCCAACACACTTTCCTTCTCCTATTTTCCCCACAACAACAACCCTGTGAAGTGGGTTGGATTGAGAGAGAGGGATTGGCCCAGAATCACCCAACCAGCTTTCATGGCTAAGGCGGGATTAGAACTCACAATCTCTTGCTTTCTAGCCTTAACCACTAGACCAAACTGGCTTTCTTTCTGAGTTACTTACATCTTTCCAACAAAGTCTTGTGGTTAATTTTGCTCTCTATTCTTATGTAATTTAGGTAGGACAGAATAGAAAACTATAATATGCCTTAAATGCTCATTAGAGATAGTCTTTGTCCAGCAACTGCAATTGGAACCAATAATTTGGTCATTAAGGAAAGTGGTTGCTAAGTGAAAAACCAAGTCAATTGCAACAGTGCTTAAGAGTTTCCTTACACTTTGTTTTTATAGTCTCAGAAGGCTATGACCCCAAACAACCAGGTGAGCTCAAAAATGGTAGGGAAGGTTTCTGAAACTCGATTTGTGAGGAAGAGACTGGGCACCTATTTGTCTGAAATGGTATAGGTGCTCCTTCTTGAGCATAGGGTTAGACTAGAAGACCTCCAAGGTCCCTTTCAACCCTGATGATGAGCTGGAAGCCAGCTAAAAGGATAAATCTTATTACCCTTTCCCCCTCAATTCTCTGCTCCTTGGAATGCTTTCCCCAACGCTGGGATAATTAGCAAGAAGGTTAATATTTGTATTTACATTCATTGGAGCGGAAGGGGTTATAAGCAAATAAAAAGGCACACACAATGAAAAGAATGTGCTAGCACTGGCTGTTTGCCTAGTGCACTGGGTCTGTGTGTAGCCAAATGCTTAAGAGGCTACACACACACACACACACACACACACACACACAAACACAAACACACACACACACACACACACACTGACTGTAATGGTGAATAGGTGACTGAGAGATGCTTGAAGGTCATACATGTGGGCATTGGTTGCAAAGTTACTTTTTCATCACTGTCATACCTGCAAATTGAGCTGTGGTGATTCAGTGGTTACAATCACTGGTGGGCTGCTGCTGGTTCGGACCGATAGTTTCGACCACCGGGTGGGCCCGCCCCCCTACCGCCTCCCCGCCCCAGTGCTATCCCGTCCTATATTTCTAGCTCACTTGCCCCGCCCACGCTATTGCATTCCTGCTGATTGAGCAGGAGTTTTAGTAGTGTGTCTTCATGATGAATCCCTAGGTAGATGATATCTGTATTAGGTTCAACCAAATGACATAAAATTACATGTAGCTTACTTTTTAGACTTTCTTTGCTTCTTCCATATCTTATTTTATTGTGCCTCACAAAGGCTTCTCCAAACTCCAAAAGTTGCACACCCTTTTGTGACCTTTTGCTGGATCCCAATAAAACTCTTGCCTGCCTATGGACATTTTCCTCCTGTGATTACTTTTATTAGTACAGCTGAAATATGCTCTTGTTTTTCCCACCATGTTAAAAATGACTGACCAAATATGACTGAGTTTGTCACCCCAATGTTTACTTCAGGTCAACTCAGATCAAAACCTACTCATGGGATAATGCCCAGGTACTGTTGGTGGGTAACAAGTGTGACATGGAAGATGAGAGGGTTGTGTCATCAGAACGAGGACGTCAGCTTGCTGAGCACTTGGGTAAGTGAACAACAATTAGAACCATGTGTTTGAGCTATAAAGATGAGTTTGATAAATGATACAGAAATGGAATTTCAAGTCTTCAGGCTTCAAGGAAAAAATTGTTTCCAGGAAGACAGGGTTTAGGAGTTTTAATATAGCTAGTGTAGATTAAATAAATTATGCAAAACAGATTTATATAAAGATATACATTTGTATAATATATGCACATTGTATAGAAAAAGTATAGGTGGCTAATCTTTTTGGAACTTTAAATAGGAAGCTGTTATTAAATGGATTAGATGCAGGTTCAGGATAAAAAAATAAGACATTTGTTACAACATCTGCCAGTAGTTTCTAAGATTGGTTGCTGAGGTGTCTAAAAGGATATTAGATAAATTAACACAGGAAGTACAGGGAATAAATGGGATATCACCTAAAAGAGATTTTGAAATTTTAGAAATCGTGTTAAATTGTTAGGTGATACTGTTGCTTTCAAGACCTGTTTGTGGCTGGATCCTTATTAGATATAAGATGCTGAACTTGATTAACCTACTTTGATGCTTTGGATTTCATAAAATCATATTCATAATAGAAGAGAGATATTTGAGGCCAGTAAATCGAACAAATTGAAGGTAGAACGTTGATGACAGATGGCTGTCTAGGCACCATTTCAACACATTCTCTGAAATGCTCACCATGTCTCTGATAAATGACTCTGCTGCTGTATTGCTCTTAATGTTGGGTATTTTTCCAAACATTCAGCTAGCATCTTCCTTCATAGAACATAAATACATGTTAGTCTTGGCCTTTCTCTGAATGGCATCGTTCAGGTATTTAAAGAAGGCCATTACTACTGTCCATTCTCAAGGATAAACATTTCATGGTCCTTCAGTTACTCTTTACAGGATTTAATTTCTAGTCCTCTGATGTTCACTCTTTTCCTTGAGCCTCTTTCAATTCCTTAAATCCTTCTTAAATATGATATTTTGCAACACTTAAGGTGGGGGAACACCAACATTTCATGATTGAACATGTACACTATTACAGATTTAGCTTAAATCTGCACTTACGGTTTTGGCAGCTAAATTACCCTGCTTGTTCCTACTCAGTTTGCAGTCAACTTCTATTCCAAGATTTTTTCACAGGTACAACAGCCAAGCCAGGTTTATCTCTCTATTTGATTTTTATTTTCCAGGTGAACAACTTTGCATTAGTCTAAGTTTAATTCTTTCCCTTTCAACCCATGTTACTGATGGATCAAATTATTTTATTTATGTCTTCTATTTATTCTGTCCTTTATTTATTGAATTTATACACCACCCATCTCACTATCACCCTACTTAATTTTCCCATTCATTTGTGTCATCTGCAAATTAGGTAATTCTTTTTCCCTGCCTTTTCATCCTAATCATGAATTATAAATGATGAGTATTAGGACTGAACCTTGTTTGTCTTATTAGACAGATCTCTCTGGTTCAATAAATCTATAAGAACTCTCCAATGTGATTTTTGAGTCATCTGTGTATTCAGCTTACTCTTAACAAGCTTGCTAATAAAGTTATGAGGTATTTCCTCAACACTTTGCTGAACTCGAGATATATTATGTCTACATCATTCACACAGTCTACTAACAAAGTTACTAAGTTGATAAAAAGGGTAAGACTAATTTGGCAAAACTTGTTCTTAACAAAATAACACGCTGACCTCTGGTAAATCACTCCACTGTTTGCAAGAGGCTGATAGATTTCTTTCTTTCTTTTCTTTTTTTACTCCAAATAATTGGTCTTTGATTTTCCTCGAGGCCTTTTGACTCTACCGTGTTTCTCTTTCCTATTCTTGTACATGCATTTTTTTTTTTTGTATTTTGTCTTTTCCCTTCCTCCAGGATTTGAGTTCTTCGAGGCCAGCGCGAAGGACAACATTAACGTGAAGCAAACCTTTGAACGTTTGGTCGACATCATTTGCGAAAAGATGTCCGAGTCACTGGACGCAGCTGATCCAGCTGTGACCGGTGCCAAGCAGGGCCCGCAACTGACCGATCAACAAACTCCCCCCCACCAGGATTGTGCCTGTTAAGAGACTTTGGTGTGGATGCCCTGACTTTTCCTGTCCCACCCACCTTGCTTGCCTCATGTCTTGCAGTAACCAGAGCCCCTAGATTCTTGACAGTTTGTGCTATCTGTCTTCCCTACCGCCACCAACACACCCACACCATTTAGCTATCCCATTGCTTATCCTTTCGGGGTAGGTGGTCGAGACTCAAACCCAGAGCTTCTCCACCTCTCTGTGTGGGCCTTTGAATGCTTCAAAAGTTACTCCCTTTAATCTTTGGGTGGATAGAGGCTCTATCTTCCTGTATGCCCCCCACTTTTCCCCCACCGGGGTTCAAGTCGATGAGCGTGAAAAAAGAGTTGGGGGCAGTGCTGGAACTTTTAACTGTTCTTAGTGGGGTTTTATTTATTTATATATTTATAATGTTCCCATCGACACCGTTGAACATCCTTTCCCTCTTCCTGCTTCGTAAGCGCCACAATCCCACTGCATTTTCCTGCATTTTCGGTGTGGACAAAAATAGATGACGACCTGAGATTCAAGGGAATCTGGCTGTATCTTCACAGGAAGGAAAATGTATCTGTCAGAAGCATCTGCCTCTTTTCCTCCTGACCACTGATCATGGGCTGTAGAGAGAAAAAATAATATTGTTCAGGCAAACTGAGCTATCTGGGAACTATCCCATTACCAGCTCTGAATTGGGCTAGGTTTTTGTAATGCTGCGAAGTGAGATTAATTAACCTCAACGCTCCCTCTTGTTTAGCTCCAGTCCGTGCCTGCTTCTTGCATGCTGTTTATCCTCTACCATGAATGAAAATAATAGGTTTTAAGGTGAATACCTTTCTTCACAGAACGGCAGGAATTTCCAACTTAAAACTGTACTTCTTGTCACGCTGGATTCTAAGGCATTACGATCACTCTAGGTCTAGTTGAACCCGGTCACTTTAGTAAGAAGAGGCTTGTCACGGGTAGATCCTTTCTTCCATTCAGGTAGAAGAGGAAGAAGGCCTTCCTGGATTTAGAAGGTGACCATATTTGGAGAAATGATAGAGTAGATCCTTTTGCTCTGCCAGCAAGGAATTGTAAGGGTGGGATTGCTCCGTTACTTGCAGCAGCCTAGTCTACACCCAGATTTTCTAGCTTCTCTCCTTGAGAAAGACAGGGCTAAATTGGAACCAATGCTCACTGACTGGTCATAGCAAAGAGGTGCCCCTTGGGCTATGTGTAGCAAAGCTCATCACCTGCCCGGCATAACTGAAGGTGAAAGTAGGTTGGAGATGTTCTGCTTCCATTCAGTTGCCCTGCAGAAGACGGTCCTCCCACTTTCACCTTGCCGAGTGTATAGAGATAACCTGCTTGTTCCTCTTCCCGTCTTCCTCAGTGTACAGAAAACGAAAAAGGAAAAAAAAAAAAGAGCAATCTCTCCAGTTCCATGTAAATAGAAGTAGCTGGTGATGTTATGTGTGTATGGACCTTTCATTGCTGTGTCGTGGTTTGTGTTGGTGTTTTTAGTTTATTATTTTTAAAATAAGTCACCCTACCTGAAGGGTTTTCACAGAACTATGTATTTATTTAAGAGGAGAAAGGCAGAGAGGCAGCTGGAAAACCCATCTTGGCTGATCTAAAAAACACATGAGAAAGTCAAAAGGTTCTTTGTCATTTTGGAATGGTTTCTCCATTGCCTTCCTTTCCTAAACAGACCTGAGTTTGCAGGGGTTAAGTTGAACCTGATGTCATACATTCCCCCCAGTCCAGCATCCTTTTCCCCTAGCATGGACTGGGGCAGATTGGGGTTGAATTCTGTTACCTTACTCCTACCTGTATTCCTATTTCCCCTTCCCCATTGCTGTCCTTAATTTATTTTTCAACGAAGCTCTATACATTTGTTTTACAAATCTTAGATACTATCTGCCCTCTTTCTTTCTCTCTCTCTCTCTCTCTCTCTCTCTCTCTCTCTCTCTCTCTCTCTCTCTTTCTCTTTTTGAGGTTTACTTTAATGGAAAAAATATGCTGTACTGTATTTAAAAAAACAAAACAAAACCTGTCAGAAGTGTCAAAATAAATAAATTCAGTTTCCTAAAATGAGCAAACAAAAATCACTGTACTAAGGAGATATTGTGAAGAAATAAAATGGCTAATCACAAAAGCATTTGATGTCAGAGTTCCTGTGAAAGAAATACAAAATAATGTTGCCTGAAAGTGGTAATTAAAGATCAGGGAAAACTATCAGAGGTGCAGATAAAAACTATTTTCCCTATGTAGATCATTCAAAGAGGTACTTATTAACAGTATATATATATTCAGATCCACCAGATTCATTGATAAGGAAATATAATCTTGTGCAGAAGAATAATTGTGCACAGATATTTGGCTGTTTTTTCTTGCAAATAGAAAGATTTGGTGGTTACAATTTATGATTGCATTTTAGAGAGGTTCAGAATTGACCTTTTCTGAAGAATCAATGTTCTGGAACCTCTGGAATAATTTCCATGTATTTTCTGGGCCATGTCAATCTGCCCACCATAGCTGTGCTCCAGCAAATTTCCTAGAAGATAGTTTTAATCAGAGTGGTAAGCTTTGCATAGATCAACATTGCAGTTATAGGTAATCGTCCACTTACAACCACAATTCAGCCCCAAACTGAATCTGGCTTCCTCATTGGCTTTGCTTGTCAGAAGGTCATAAACTGACCCTGGGACAAAGCAACCATCATAAATATGATCCATCACAAATATCAACCAAGGCCAATTTGAGTCACATGACCATTGGGGATGCTGCCAAGGGTTGTAACTGAAAAATGCTCATAAGTAACTTTTTTCAGTGCTGTTGTAACTTTGGTCACTAAATTAATTGTTGTAAGTTAAGGACTAAATGTATATCCTATCATTTCTCTCGGGTAAGACAAGTCTCCCAGTTTATTCTCAACAATCGTCTAGATATGTTGGTAGAGCTCAAAGCCATCTGTTGAGCACTGTGCTTGAGTAAGAACTTGAACCCGAGTCTCCTCTGTCCAAATTTAACATTTTAATCATTGGAATATTGATTAAAAAAAGGTCCTAAGGAATACAAAAGGGACATCTAAAGTTAGGAATACCATGAATAGTATAGTTTGGTGTAGTGGTTAAGGCATCAGCTGGAAACTAGGAGACAATGATATCTAGTTCTGCCTTAGGCACAAAGCCATCTGGATGACTTTGGGCCAGCCCACTCTCTCAGTCCTTGGAAGCAGGCAATGACAAACTACTCCCAAAGTCTTGAAAACTGCTGGGACTAGCCCAGGAATCACCGGGACTTGGGACAAAATAGTAAAATAATGAAAAAATTGCCCAGTCGAAAACCATTGGTATTTATTATAAGTCCCTTACACAATGTATAATTCGTTTTTGGAACTCTCTGCTGATGCAACAATATTTTCAACCACTTCACTGTTCACCTGGGTTGTCTAACAATGGTTATGTAAACTAATTTTGGTCAGAGGCAGCTGACGGACCAACACCAGGTTCCTAGAGGCATCTGTTAATAATTAACTGAATAGACCCTTGATCCAACCATGTTCTTACACAACTCGTAACTGCCTCTCGGAGGTGTCATGGAGACAGTCTCAACCTTTTCAGTATATACCCAAATTCCACATGTTGTTCTGATCTGACACATGAAACTTGCATAGAAAATTTTCTCCTAGGCAGACCTCCTTAACTGTATCAACACAAGAGGCTTTGATCAGACGAGGAATTATTTTCCAGACCCATTCATTTTATTGGTTATATCAGCCGAGAATATTTTGGAAGCTTCTTGTAGAATTAAAAGACTCAAGCTGTAAAGCCAAATCCTCTGCATCTGAATTCTGGGAAACAGTAATAACAGATGGACTTCATGTAGTCTTCAACATACATCCAGAACTGAGCTCACAATTACAGCCGTAAGTTGTGACAATGCCTGATTTTACAACCTTATGAGCAGTGGTCATTAAGTGAACCCATTGTCCTCTATGTGGCATTGCCAGAAACTGGAAATAAATGCTGGTTTCCAGTAAAAATGTTATAAATCATGGTCACATGACCACAGGGTGCTGAAAGCAGGTGTAAATGCAAGCCAGTTGCTGAGCACCCAAAATGCAATCACGTGTGTGCAAGATGTCAGAACTTCGAATCTGGGTCTTAAGTACCTCTTTCAGGATCTGTCAGAACTTCAGTCACAAAGTGACTAGTCATAAATTGAGGACTATTTAGATGGGGCAGCAGGTTTAAGGGAAGGGGATATATATTTTTCTAATATATCATTCTTTTAAAATATATTTTCAATTGAATTAATACCCTGGCTGCCTCTTTACATGGAATGCTTATGGTGACTAAAGCAAATAGCAATAGCACATAGACTTATATACCGCTTCACAGTGCTTTACAGCTCTCTCTAAGCGGTTTACAGAGTCAGCATATTGCCCCCAACAATCTGGGTTCTCATTTTACCCACCTCGGAAGGAGGGAAGGCTGAGTCAACCTTGAGCCAGTGAGAATCCAACTGCCGAACTGCAGGCAGCTGGCAGTCAGCAGAAGTAGCCTGCAGTACTGCACTCTAACCACTGTGCCGCTGTGGCTCATAACCCAAAGGAGCTTTTTCAAAATGCAATTGGACTTTGTTTTCGTTTTTTTACTTGAAGATGTTTCGCTTCTCATCCAAGAAGCTTCCATTCAGTCGGAACTGAAGTAGCTTCTTGGATGAGAAGTGAAATGTCTTCAAGACGGGAAAAAAAAAAAAAGTCCAGCTGCCTTTTGAAAAAGCACCTTTGGGACAACAATGATCTGGATGACTGGGAATTTCCATAGACATTGAACAGCAAATAAATACAAAGATTAATGTTAACATAAAAACTAACCATTAAGGGGCTAAACTGAAGAGATGCATCTTGGGACAACTCAACTTAAGGACTTTGCACCAACTCAAAATTCTCTGAAACGGTGTCTTTGGATGGCATTGGCTCATTTTGAGAGCTGAATTTTCACGCAAAACTAATCTCTTCTTTTGCAAAGTTGGAGGCTGTGGATACTTTTTATTCCTTTGGCAGATACCTTTGTAACTCCCACCATCCAGGAATCCATAAACCAGAGATCTCCAAACTTGGCAACTTTAAGACTTGTGGACTTCAACTCCCAGAATTCTCCAGCCAGCTATGCTGGCTGGAGAATTCTGGGAGTTG